TTATATATCAATGAACGATTAAATGATTTAGAAATGAATGCTGAAAATGAATTTAAAAAATGTGGATTAGAAAATTTTCGTAAACCTGGATTTATTATGTCTAAAAAATTATTAGATGAAGCTGGTATAACTGAACATAGTACAAAAAAAGTATTCTATTTAAAAACAGATAATACATCTATTGAAATATTAATGTTTAGAATGTTTGAAAAAGAAATTGAAGAATTAGTTGAAGATTTAACAAATAAATTAACAGTACCTAAACTTAAATCACATGATCCATTTTCACATATATAGTTTATTAACTTTAATGATTGAAAAAAAAAGCAGTGAAATTATACAATAATCAGAAATTAATATGATAAGTAACGATGGAGACAAGTTATATCTTCATAACAATTAAAAATAATAATAATAAATTTGAGAATTTTATTACACTATTATAGTTTGGTATTTCAGTTGAATTGAAGACAATTGTACACTTCATTCCTTCAGAGTTGATAATTCACTTTAAAATGTTTACGTGATTGTAATGTTTACAGATATTCGAAGAAAAAAAGAAAGATTTAAACTCGAGATGTATGTTGTGATTTTTTGAATTTATATATTATAAAATTCAAAACAATCCCTTCAGGACGTTGATGTTAATACTGATTATTCAAAAAAAAATATCCAATTAACATTTTCCAGTTTCTACACAAGATTCTATGTTTATTCATTTACATTTAAATAGTTCAGTGTATTAATGAAATATTTGGTTAGTAATATTCATTTTAAAATACTCTGTAAAATGAAATGTATGTTGAAATTGTTATTGATTCTATTGTTATTCTTTTGATTGAATGAAATACATTTATTGAAAATAAATGTTGTCATGTTATAAAAAAAAATAATTCGTTATACCCAATATTGATTTTATTTTCGTATCTTTTACGACTGCTCTTATAAATAATGACGAACCATAAAAACAAAGTTATGTACTTCAGGAAATAAAACATCTTAATAACCAGGAGTAAGACCGTTAGATTCATCAAACTTGTCGTCTTCTTCTTATTCAGCAGTAGAATATATTTGACTGCCTAAATTTATTTACTAACTTATTATACCTTTACGTTATTTCTATCTTCTTTTTTTACAAAAAGCATCAAATCATAAACTCAACAGCTATAAAAAGAGATTATTCTTTCTCAGACCAGTACTTCGGTGTTTTAAATGCATGATTTACTTGTGAAAACGTAATACGTTTTCTTTTAAGTATTTCTGTAACGGCAGTAGGTTTTTGAAAATAAATAGACGGAACTCTCTGAGTTTGCTTTAAGAGACCCCCCCCCCGTGAAAGTTGGATTTATGTAGACAGAAAAACGTGATCATATAATTTAATTTAAACTCTCATTCTACGTACAAAGCTACAAGTGTGGTGAATAAGAACATGAGTGGGGGAAATCGAGTGCATTTAAGCACGAAAGTACAGATCATCCCACTAAAATTAATTTGCAAAATATTAATCCATCGTCTTGAAATTGACTGTTTCATCTGAAAATATCAGTCCATCGTCTCAGGTTTCATTGTTCGTATATTTTCATACTAATTGCCTTCCGTTCCCGTTCTTTCCCTCTTGATATTCTACTGAAATACATTCTATTCCTGACTACTATTATATACTACTTGCGTGCATATAAGTAGCTCACACTACACAAGTAGTTACTAGGTAATGAAAAATGTTTATCTCAGTCAAAGTAACAGATGTTATGTGGAGTCCCAAATAAAAGTTAAAAGACCTTAAAGAGTGGAATTTAGGTAGCAGGGTTACGAGGAATTGGATGAGAAGTATCCTAGTATTGTCAAGTTCCACACTTACTAAGGAAGAAGTATAGCTAATGTAGGAAAAGTTCTAAACACGTCCAGTAGTAATTACTAGGATATTAAATAGAAGATACTGAGCAGCATTTCTTTAATAACATTCTTAAACCTCTGGCTACAGAGTAACACTCACTTTCTGTTGTCGCATGGTTTAGAACAATACGAATATGACACGGTATTTCAACTTCCTTGAATTCATAAATGACGTACCTAAAAGATTCTCGTTATTTCTACCAACGCCAGTCATTTGAAAAGCCTTATACTTTTCCTAATTTCAATTAATATAAGTTTCTTCGGAACAAAATAAACTTTATTAAAAATGAATATTGCAAGACAAGATAGTGATCAGATATTAAGATATTTGCAATCATAACCTAAACAGATATCATCTTATTTTCAGAGCTCATAAATTTTTATACGTATATTAAAAGGATATAACACTTTTTAACCAATTAAAAATGGATTAATCACTATCTAGAATGAAACTGAAATAGCCAAATAAATAAAACCACTTGAAAACTATCACCTAACAATACTACTTTTCCTAATAGTACAGAAGCTTAACTAAAAAAAGCAATGAGAACTAGTGAATAGTTCATAGTTTAAGAAGTTAGTGGTAAACATACGAAATTAATCTAAAAAATGTGAGTTCCAAGTCTGTTACGAAAGAATGACATTTCTATGACCTGTGTTTAGCTGAACAATGTTTTTTTATCCCAGGTTTGATGAAAGCTTCTGTGAACAATGGTGGGGGCAATATTGAGAAAAGTGTTACGGATATGCAAATTTAGTAGAAAGCAACTAATATTCGTCGTTTAACAACTATATATTTACCTGTGGGACAAAACTGAAAATATTGTCTAACTTAACGAAGCCATAAACCACCCACGTAAAAGGAGGAAAAGCGTACTCGGCACACCACAACTGAATTACCTTTCTTGCATAGCGAACTATGCTTAATATTATATGACAATACAATACATAGGAATACTTCAGAATCACCAATTAACACGACGGTTGCATGTAAAAAAGAACCTTAATAAGCGGACAGTTATTTGGCTTTAGTTTTAAAATGTATGTATTCGTATGTAAATGGTGACTAGGTCATGGTTAGTCTACACACCGCAACTTTTAAATTAATGGTTTGGACATCAACCAGCTGAGAAGCAAGAATCAAGCACCGATTGATCTTTAACGTGTGAGATACAATTGTCGATGCTAAAATCTTTAGGTTAGTATTTATTTGTTTGAATCCATTAACATTTGCTTACTTTGCAGTGATTCTTAAAAAAAAACGGAAATAAATATGAAGTGCAAAAAACCTGGCTATCAGACCAAAGCATTCTACATATGAGAAGTCACGATGAAAACTAACGAAATAAAAAAATTTGACTGTAATTTTTCATTGTATCTACAGGAAAGAACAGGTAAACTTATGTTATAGTCATAGATATCGGTATTGATAAAAGTATGAACAATATGTAATGGATAACGTAAATTAAGTAAGAATAACATTCAATTCAAAATATACAGTGTAAAGCTCCAAATACGAAAAATTAAAGTTTGACGGTTTCTCAAAAAAATTTATAATTGCATATACAATTTCAAGCAAATTTAAATCCATTATTCATTACAATACCATCAAAATTAATGATAAAATTAGCTGACACATTAATAGATATGACCCAGTTGCAGAAGGACAATGTTCACAACTTTAAACTCTATTCTTTCATTTATTCTCCAGAAGAGTGAGACGTTGTTCCAAAAGTGAAACGGTCTATGAAGAAGTAAAGAAGAAAAAACTAATATTGCTTTTGGTTTTACATTGCCTCAGATAACAATTTATGCACTATAAACAATGCTTTCCGAGAAATCCAGTGTAATAAATTTACAGATAAGTAAAATATAAATATGAAGTAAGGATTCAACAGATATCAAATTACAAATAATTAGTAAAAAGACTAAAGTGCAATGACTTCTGCGAGTTTACAGGTCCAATATATTGATAAGTATTCACAAATGCACAATCTAAGCTCAAAATTTCTCGAATTATAAACATCAAAGACGGTCGATTAACAATAATGCTGAGTCACACACTAGATTAATAACGGATAACCAACATTTTATTATGTTATGGTCGATACAATTCTACTCTTGTTGTTTCTCACAAACCGAAATCTAGCACAACAAGTTGTATGTGAATTGTTGGGGATGTTACATCCCCAGAACTCACTTGGTAAATGCATTAATTTTGTAATTTTATTTTGGAAATTTAATTTTCCTTGTTTTTGCGCCGAAAGCGCTCTTTTCACCTACCTTCATGTCATATTTCCCACTAGGGAGAATCTTTAACGCTATTGGTCCGTTGTGTATTCAAGACTCTGGCGAAGTACTACAAATTCGATCTCCATCTGTCGCTTCGAAAAGCTTGTTTTACGTGCGCTTATCCGGGGACCCTGTGGCATCTTCGTCTGGTCTTGCAGGCGTTGGTGTCGCACTAAGCGCTAGAGCTGAGGCAGCACTAGTCGATTGGATCCCCATTAACAGTCGGTTATGTGCTGTTAGATTAGAAAGTTCCATCAAAGTGAGAAGAAATCGGCGTAAGAAACGATGTGTTTTCGTCATCTCCGCCTATGCCCCGACAGATTGCAGCCCGGATGCAATCAAGGATGAGTTTTACAACCAGTTATCTGTTCTTCTCCAGAAAGTGCGTTCGACAGATATTGTAGTACTAGCCGGAGACTTGAATGCTCAGGTCGGGCGTCTAGGCACAGAAGAGAGTCGTTTAGGTGGCCGATGGGGACTCGTTGGTCGCAGGACAGATAACGGGGACCGTCTACTGCATCTATGCACAGACCACAACCTGTTTCTGGCTAGCACTAACTTTCGGCACAGTCATCGCCGATGTGCCACCTGGCGTCCTCCCTCTGCATCTCAAGCCTGGACTCAGATTGATCACATCAAGATCAGCTACCGCTGGCGTGGTTGTGTACAAGACTGCCGCTCCTTTTGAAGTACCTATCTGGACTCTGACCATGCCTTGGTCTGCGCCAATCTTGCCTTACTTTTCAGTGGACAACGAAGTGAACGCCATCAACGGATTGATGTTAGCAAGCTGGTTGCAACTTCTGTTGCAAAGGATTGCCCACAACAGAGTTGGATGGAGAATGCTAGTGAGCGGTCTATGCTCCTCCACGAGGAGTAATAGGCGTAAGTAAGGAAGTTAAGGATTCAACAAAACCTTATAAATGGTCAATCCAATTACTTATACTTACCATTACAACTACCTTATGGTTGTGACGCACATCGGTGACCTCAGTGTATCAATCGGAAATGTATTTTAGTTAATTGACTACACATCAATTACGGTGATAAGAAATTATGGACTGAGTACTTGTCAGCAAACAAAAAATACTAAGATTTGTTAAAAATATATAAGCCAATTTCACACAAAATAATTTGCTATAACGAAAATCATCGACATTGGTTGCCTTTCGCAAAAGCTTTATTTGAGGATTGCATATCCTCAACAAGTGGGTTTGAAATATTTTGTGAATCTCACTACAGTGGCTTTCACATTACGCATTATTCGCAGATGCTAAAACTAGGTGGAACGGAAGAGAGGTAGTCAGTTTATGACATGTCACTGTAGTATGGAAGGTGGCACACAGAACTGATACCTGTTGGTCCACCACGATTTTTGGTTTGTGATCCTACAGATCGTGCAACTCAATGGTTTGAGATGTTATCATATATTGTTCAAAACAGAAGTCAGTGATAATCCTGCTTTAGTTTTTTACATCTTTTATAAAAGTAAGTTTGGATTAGTACTCAAATAAAGCATCCTCTGAGTAAATTGTAACATACGATAACAATTCTGAAAAAAATACAGTGGGTGGTTAACTACTATCCTCAATAAACTAAGTCATAAGTGCAGGATGAAACTTCTCCCACTTAAGCAGTACATACCTGACATTTAGCAAGGTAAGGTGTGTAAGATAGGCGCTAACCAATCTGGTTTTTGCTATACTGATAGGACCTTTCTCAGTCATGCACCCGGTAACACTCATACAGCTATCTAGATTTACCAGTTTTTTAATTGTTAGGAAAAAGTATTTGGGAATTTAGTTATATAAAGTAAAGTATGAAGAGCGTACAATCCTTAGCATGAAAACCCCTTAGTTTTATAAGTAAATGGTTCTCCTCCTCCAAATCATGGGATAGCAACGACATACAAATCAGTATCGCTTACTGAACAATACTTTAGACTGAAAAACAAGAGTTTATTAAAATCACTATGTAAAATTGATAGTACCTGAGTTAAAATATCTAGTTGTGAAACAATATGTTCAAGTGTTGTAGATAGTGGTGGTGGGACATTTTGGCGTTCACTTTCTAGACCACTTGCTGTTTTCGAATTCTGTATACAAATGGAAAAGTGATACGTTACAACTTCGTAGTTTATAAGCTGTGGTTTAAATAATCATTAATGTTCAGATTATGTTAAAAATCAAGATTTAATTAGAATGAGAGGCAAGTAGTCACTGTATTGTTGAATACTATCACTAACAAAACCAACAACAGTATTTAAACAAGCTTAGTGATGCACGGAAATCATATGAAACTATTGTTTAAAAAATGGAAAAAAATTAAGATGATAACGATAAACATATCCACTTAGCTTCTCTTTACTGAACGATAATTATGATGTATCCTTTGATTTCTTCAATATTCTTCTGATAGTCGTTTGAAATACAGTTTTCTGGGTGTTGAAGAATAACTACTTAGCATCAGAGTTCATGATAACAAGCACAACACATTATGTCCTAATTTTTGCGACTTTCTTAATTAAATTACTAACTGCTTATATTTGCTGATTTTTAAAATGGTCAATTGTATAACAGCCAATGGGTAAAATGAAAGCTTATGATAAAAAGAATATGGATATATATAATCTAGCTATTCAGTAATCATGCAATAAGAAAATATGTAATAAAAGTCCATAAATAATTCCCGGTAGTTACCATTCATTTATTACGCGTTCAGGTATAATAGATATGATTGTTATTTATCACTGGTTTCTTGATACGTAAGAAAAACCAAACTGCAGTAAACTTCGGAACAATCGTCTTGATATAGTAAATAATGAAAACGACAATAAATACTGATGCAAACTAGTTTTATTCATACATTTACCTAGTAAACTAAAGTTTATTACGTGGGTCTCGATCATCAAACTACACGAAATGAATTAATTCAGTAGTCAAAGTTTTTGGGATCGTTTGGATAAAATTTGCTTTATCGAAGAAGTAAACGCAGTTTAATTATGAACCATCTTTTTTCTAGCCAAATAGAGATGAAACTCGGGCGAATTACTCATGACTTTATTACAGTGAACAGAGATCAGAAACATTTGCTAATAAAAGATTAATTTTGGAAAATGGACTTACAGCTTGTAGAAAATTCATATTTGACGTTAATGGTAAAGTCATTGATGAGATAGCACCAGAGTGGGTACGGAAATCAGGCGGAAAATGACACTTAACTGAAGTAGTCGGGTTCTGTGCTCCACTGTTAGTAGTTTCATGAAAGTCGACAGCAGCTTCAGAAGTAGCGAATGATGGTTTTTCCGCTTTTTCATGCACTTCACTTGACGTTACTTGAGGATCAGATTTAGGACATATTAGATGACTATTAATTTGAATAGATTTGTCCCGAGATATGGAACCATCAGGATTAGAAGTTGTGTGAATTGGATGTGAACTATTGTCTGGAATATTAGTAGTCATTCTAGCACACCCATTCGTGCGCCATAAAAACACCTGAAATAAATTTTAGAAATCGTTTACAGGATCCTAAGCTGATATGAAGTCGTGAAAAGTTTTTAAATTACAGTTAACTAAGCGCTATTTAAATCATAAGTAGAGAGAGTACCAACTGCAAAAAGACTACCACAAAACAGTATGAAGCATAAAAAAGAATGGTGCGATTGTGTAACATACGTTTTTGAATACCACTTCAATAGCAGGGGCTTCATTGATCGGAAAAACATGTAACAAATAAATTTCTACTAACGTATTTCCATTTGCTTCCTTTAAAAACTGATTGTCAAGAAAACAAATGAATGTCTAACAGATACTGGATAAATTTAAGTATGGTAGCAAAGTTAGTATGATTTTTTAATCTACGGCTTACCTGTTCATCACTCCCACCAGATGCAAAATGATCACCAGACGCAGAAAATGCTGCTGCAGTAATAGGTCCCTGGTGTCCCTGAAGTGTAAAAAGTGGACGACCCTCAAGGAGGTCAAATATTTTCAGTGTTGAGTCTTCAGATGCAGAGAGCAGAACATGACCATTGGGATGACAAGCAACTTTATGTACTGGACCGGTATGATCTAAAATCATATGAAATCCGCATAAAGTAAATCCAAAAGCAAACAAATTAGAATGAAACAAATATGAGAAATATTACATAAAGGACTAATGACCAAGATATTACATATTTGCCTCCCAAACACTTCTATGTGTAATTCTTCCTCAATTATTTAATCAATTAGTGTAATTTATGTATTAGATACAGGAGCACATCAGTCAGCTACAATGTAGGACCAGGCACATATGTGCATCGGTCCAAGTTGCCATACCTCATTAGCACAAGATGAACGCTGGATTCAAAGAAGCACGTATACAGCTTTGTGTAATAATTTTCGTGAGAATTAGTGATTTTGTCCAGATATATAAGATGAAGTAGAGTTTGAGTGTACAGCCTTATGGTTAAGAGCCGGGTATCTTTACCTCCAATCCACTCCCCCAACATATTTTACCCTCATAAATCTACATTTTACTTAGACTTTCTCGTCAACTTAGCGGGCATATGCCAATGTGCTGTTCGGTGAGGAAGTTAGCTAACAATTTTCAGAACTTTTAACGAAGAGGAGTCTTGAGAAAGTTGTTGTTCACCCACTGTTAATCGTACTTTATTCCCACACTAAGATATTTTGAAGGTAGCCTTAGTGAAACTATCGCATGACAAGAACTATGGTAAAAAATTTTACAACAGTTTCTCTAACATCCAGAGATTTCGCTAACCTGGTTAGAGAGTTTGGTAAGATGAAAAGCTACTTACCATCATAATGTTGAAGTAGACGGTTCATCCTTAAGTCCCAAAGCTTAACTGTGCAATTCGTACTTCCCGATGCAAAGCAGTTCCCATTCGGGTGAAAGTCCAGATGTGAAGCAAAGCCACCAGCTTCTTGGAAGGTATGTACACAACCTTGCGTCTCAGTGTCCCATAACTTAATAGTTTTATCATCTGATGAAGATATGATAAGGCGTGAGTCAGGTGAAAAACTGGCTAAATAAGATGGGTCGGGACCTACCGACAGCACCTCACCCAATTCACATGTTGGTTTAAAGAGAACAAGAACTTTTGTCTATGTAAACTCCAAACCTATATATTAAAAAGAAAATTTATGGACCTACTTTTACCGACTTGTCTGATGAAGCTGTACACATCCTTGAGTCATCAGCGGACACATCAACCCACCGAACTGCTGCAGTATGGGCGCGAAAGGTGATGGACTCTCCTTTTCTAAATTCTATTACTTTAAAACGTCTTATTTTACATGCTCGGAATCCATAATTTTACTGTCTTATCCCTAGAAGCAGTTAGTATAAGTTCACCAGTCGGTGAGAATCGAACGCAGAATATAGCGTCTTTGTGGCCACTAAACTTATATGCTCGCGTCTGTGGCTTAATGTTCCAAATCATTAAACATGCATCCATAGAGCAAGAAGCTAATAATGAGCACTAAACGAAACGGACTTTACCTAGCTGCTTTCCAGTTGGGTTGAAGTCGACACATGTGATGGAGTCTTTGTGTCCTTTAAAATGGATTTGTAATGATGGATCTTCCTACAAGTTGCTATTCGGATGAAAATCTAAACATACCATAGGTCACGAACAACAAACAAAATCAAAACCCCGCGTAGCTAAGGTTGGTCGTAGCATAAATATTTTGGAACTCATACTAACAAGATACAGATGTGTGTAGTAAGGAAAAAAGGCCGATGACTTGTGTTAGTCCTTTTCTAGCAGACTTCTGTAAGTGTCTATTTTTTTCTCGGATGAGTCAGTTGAAGGGGCGGACACTTCTGCTTCGGGTTACAAGTTCCAAGGATTGATGACTCAGTGTGAAATCCTGTATATCACGGGTGTTTTGTTCATTGTTTGCATTCCTACTGATATGGCCCTTGAGTTGTTCTGATCTGATAGGAAGAAAAGTAGGGGATATGTCAGGTTCACATTTAGATTATTTAAATCATGTTCTAGTATTCATTAGTTCAAAACCATACCACTTCTTCAAATGGTCGTGGATGGAATCGAAGAAGCTTTCACTTAACAGGCTTCCGTATGCAGTAACAGGGGATCACCAATATCTCCAGGCAGGAACCTAGGTATATTAACGATAAAAGAGGAAAAACAGAAGTTGGTAGATCATAATAAGATGTTATTCTTAGTCCTTTAGAATAGATCAAGTTGCCTCCTAAAGGACCCATGGGAAGTCGCTTGGACTAGCTCGGATGGCAGCGAATTCCAGCATTTGACAACTCTTAAGGAGTAGAAGTCGTGTCTACAGTCCGTTCTGCTATGTTATGTCTCCAGTTTTTGGGTGTTACCTCTTAGGTTAGTGTTGGAACTAAGCTTAAGTAGGTGTTTAAGGGGATGTCCAGAAGTGTCAAGGATACTGTAAGCCATCAGAAGGCCACCTGTAAAGCGCCTATAGTCTAATGGTTAAAGGTTTAGTGATTGGAGGCGCTCTTCATAAGGCTTGAATTTGAGTCCCTGAACTGGCTTCGTGGCTCACCTTCGGATACCCTCTAGAGTGTCCTTATCCTTTAAGAGTGAGGGGGGAAATACTGTTTCCGTACTCTAAATGCGGACGAATAGAACTGTTGGAAAGTATATGGAAAGTTCTTCCACCGGACAAGCCGAAAATGCGCTCTAACACAACCAGTGCAAGGTTTGCTCGAAAGGCATTTGTGTAGCAGTTAGCGTAAGACTTTAAATCGTACGGTACTAGTACTCCTGTAGAATTATGGTCTACTACGATATTAGTACTGCTCTAATAATAGACCTAATCCTGAAATTGTAGATTTGTCATGATATAACTGCCTAATCTATAAGATCTTACGTGGAAGTCACACCATCGACTACGCCAACTCACTGTATCGTATCAATTACCAATACATGATGAATAAGAAGGTTAGTTTAGAGAAATAACAATATATTTAATATGAATAGAGACCACGCCTGCATGGCCGAGCCATGCCACTCGATCAACCCCAGTCCATTCAATTCATTGTTCGCGCCTTCTCCATTGTTAGGTATTTCCCCGAGTTAAATATTGAATATCTATTTTCTGAGTAGTCTCGTGTTCACAGCTTTGTGGATTGTGTGGCTATTGTCCAATGCCACTACACTCCCAAATCTTTTTCGACTCGGGATACTACTAGAGAGGAGTTTTTTATGTTGTAGATTTTGGGAACCACTTGAGGAACAGACTACTTTGTAGTACATAAGAGCGTGTGCAGTAAGAAATCCCAATCAACATTCACATCATGTTGAGGGTGAACATCCCAATCCACCTTTTGTAAGTAGTCCTGTAAAGCTGACACATTCAACCGTTTGAAATTCCAGCGCCTGTTGTTGGTGGGATGGCTTCACTTCCATTTTGCTGATAAAACTGAAAGCTATGACGGCGTGATCGATTTTCCTCAGGGGAACCACGATTGAGAGGTTGTCAACTAGGAATTCTTCCTTTGTAAATATCCAGTCTAAGTGCGAAGGCGTCTGACTGTTTCTTCAACGAGTGGCCAAATTCACAATTTCGAATAATCCCAGATTTTCAATGAAATTGATGAATAAAGCTTCAGTTGAGTTTTCATTTCTAATATACGTATGTTCCGCGAAATTTACTGTAGGAAGATTGAAGTCCTCTAGAATCAGGATATGAGTGAATCTGAGACACGTAGAGCGGAGTAATCCTTCCAGTATAAGGTTGTCGTACTCGATGTTAGCGGTAGGCTTCCTGTAGATGACTCCAACTAGACACCTAGAGGTGGTAGACAATCTTACTGAGCACCATACGGGTTCATCAGGATTCATAAACTTTTCGTGCCTCTATGTGACCCTCGTGCTATTGATAGAAGAAACCAGACACGTAGTGAATAGGTCTTTATTTAGATATTCGCGCAGTCACAGTCGAGCGTGAGATTATTTGTTCAGACAAACAAGACCTCTCAACATTCAATATAAGATAATGGGAAATATAGCGCCTATACAAAATAAGGAAGTGAATGAATACTTGAACTATACTGTTTTGACATATGCTTAGTTGTTTGAGGTGAACTCTTAACCAATCAACCTAAGCTGTTACAAACTCTTGGTTGTGCACTTGATGTACATCCAGGCATGATCGTAAGTAGAAGGCTACTCCATCCCGGATTCGGTTTTTCTGCCATTGCGAAACAAAGACATCCTGGGTATTGCTAGTTCCTGGTCCGTAAATTGAGATATCCAATTTTCAGATATTCCTATCAGGTGAGTATTATTAGCGTTGCTGAGTCCACGTACCTCATCCATTTTATTTGGTAAACTCGCGGCGTTTATGTACAGGCAGTTTATGTTTCAATTTGGAACGCATGAGATTCCCCTTCCTGCTTGTTTGTATGAGCCTTACGTGAATGGACAGGTACCCTACCTACAAAAGGTTTTCCGAGTTGACAGCCCGCGTTATTTACACGTTTTATTATGATCAATACAGTCCGCAAGTGGAATGATCAGCTTCAACTTGATTTTGTGCTTGATCCTAGCGTCGTATGGCCTATACGGATGCATACGGGTTCCAGTCGGCAACCGACGTCTGTCGGTACGAAATGCTTCCAGAGTTGCAGCCGTCATGTGGGAGGATAGGAAAGTTATCCTCATTAGCCGGAGTCTGGGATATGCTTTAAGTATTTGAAGTTTGACAACGGTTTAACCAATAACATCTGATATGAATCCTGCCCATCTAGTGAAATCAAACGTCAGAAGCGAGGAGGTTCGAAGATATATTGGATAGGCTATCAATACATCAAGAATCAACTGATCTAAACTGGCTAATGATTGCAAGGGGGGTTGAGAACGGCGTTCTCACTCGCGATCTGGTGCCGATGCATGACTGAGCGTCTTCAGCTAATTGATTCAATTAAAACTAATGTGGTCAGAATCCAGTGTCAAAGATTACAGAAGTGTTGATTTCGGGCATTTATTTACAGCTACATCACCCTTTCTTATGTTAAAGTGGTCCGAATGGTTGCGAACGGAATAGAAGAAGCTTTTGCTTAATGTGATTCGATACTAATAGATTGCCAACTCATAACCATCAGTTGGTGAAAATGCAATATAGGCTTGAGGCTTATTCATGTGATCCCTATCAAGTACGCTACGCTGCAATTTTGGACAAGTCAAATTGTGCCATCAAGCTCTAGTGTCTGTATCCAGTTTGTAATTACTAGCCAAGAGCAGAGTAGGAACATCGAAGCCACATAGTAGTAATATAGCATTATTTCGATTTCAAAATATAAACTTCATGAACAAGTGAACCAAGTAGACGAAACAATATCAAAAGTTCTAAATATTTTCTGTCATGTAATCATACAAAAACCGGCTTGGGAAGCCAGATCCCTTTACTCTGTCCCAGCAGCATGGTTTCAGGAAGGGTTACTCTCGCTGACTGCGGTGGATAGATGGACAAAGCATCCTCGATCACAAGGTGAAGGTTGCTATCATTTACCTTGATTTCTCAAAAGCTTTTGACAGGGTCAACAATATGTGTCTTATCAAACGATTGGGTATTAAATCACCTTTAACTAATCGGCTCGCTTCATATCTAAAAATTGACATTTTAAGGTCAGGGCTAACTTCACTTTCTCTCAGTCTATGAAATGTCCTAAAGGGGTCCCCCAGGATTCGCCACCAGAACCTCATCTTCTCTTGATTTATGTAAACGATCTTCCACAACAGGTATCATCAGAAGTATTGCTTTCTGCTGATGGGAGGAAAATTTGGAGACAGAATAAGCTGGCACTTCAGGAGGATCTGACTCGACTTCACAGTTGGGCAGACGACAACGGACTTACCATTAACACTTAAAAGTGTAGAGTAGTTCATCTGAGACATATTGCAGACTACAGTTGCAACTTACTAAACTCCTCTCCAGTAGTACTCCGAGTCGAAAAAGATTTAGAAGTGCTGATGCCCTATGATTTAAAGTCTTACCCTAACTGTGACAATAATGCATTCCGAGCAAACCTTGCACTGGTAATGTTGAAGCGCATTTTCGGCCAGTCTGATGGAATGACTTGTAGAATTATGGTCTTCTATGATATTAGTACACTCTAATAATAGACCTAATCCTAAAATTATAGACTTATCATGATATAACTGCCTAATCTATAAGAAGCTACATCATCGTCTACACCAACTCACTGTATCTTAACAATTACCAATATATGATGGAGAACAAGGTTAGGCTAGAGAAAGAACAATATATTTAATATGCATAGAAGATATGAGGTAACATTCAGTACGGATCACGCCTGCATGGCCGCGCCATGCCATTCGATCAACCCCAAATTCATTCCATACATTCTTTCCGCCTTCTTCATTGTTAGGTATTTCTCCGCGTTAAATATTGAATATCCATTTTTTGAGTTGTATCGTGTTCAGCTTTGGGGATTGTGTGGTTATGGTCCAATGTCACTACAAACTTTCTACTCTTCCCAACCTTCTACTACCGAACATTCCACTTTTCATCGGTGTTATATACTACTTATTTCGACATAAATAGCATGAACTACAGTATTTATGTAGACATGCATGGTTTAATTTCTGAAACAAGCATATCCGATATACTAAATGTGGAAATAATAAAATGAGACTTCAACCGCAAAGTACTTAAGAC